CCATCACAACCTAAGACGCTGCCATTCGCAGAAGCAGTGGCGATGTGAAATTTCTTTCAAGTTTGATAACGCGATAATGTGCACCTGTGCATCTTCAACAGACATTTGCAGTTTTTCCATCAGTGAGATGGTGATGAAGACACAGACATTCCACAGAGACAACAGGGACAAAAAACGTCCTGCTTCCTGGGGATGTGGAGACACCTCTGTCACATGACCCTGAAACAGCAGTGGCCGGCCGTGCCAGGTGGAGATTGGTTTTGATGACTCCTTAGCTCCGAGAGAGCTGTCTTTTAATGAAGGCCACACGGGCTGACACCCATAGAGAGTAACCTCCCTTTGTTGACATTGTGGAGTTTGATCCAAATGCCTTTTAACGAGATCTAAGGAAGACTAGTTCTACATTTTAATCTACACAGTGAGCTGGCCGGGAGGGGTCCTACTGTGCAGCTTGTGCGTTCTTTTGGACAAGCTTGTTCTTGTGTGCTGTTCCTGCAAGGCTCTCCTCTCTCCTCAGCTCTTGCTGGAGAACCAGCAAGTCTGCAGTGTTAGAGACGAAGGTACTGGTCCGTCAGCACAGTTCCTCCACCCTGTCCCCCATATCTAGAGCTATGCCTGCAGCAAGTGACCTCACAGCAAATAACCTTGACCCTGGACCTGGGATTAGCCTCCCCCTTGCTGTGCACCCGGGGCATGTTCACTTAGAGGCAACACTGCTGGGGATTGTGGTCAGTGGCCCCACAGCTGTTTCTGTGTATCGTGAAGTGGTTCAGTGCGCAGAGTGTGTGTGTGTGTGTGTGTGTGTGTGTGTGTGTGTGTGTGTGTATAAGAGAGAGAGAGAGAGAGAGAGAGAGAGAGAGAGAGAGGCCTTGAATAGATGCATCAACTTAGCTTCATTTACGTAACTGACAGATTGTTTTTGTTTTTTTTTACTAATAGAATGCTATGATATATTTTGGAAATTGCTATACTTGGTGTGTTTTCTCTGCTACAGTGTGTATGTACAGCAGTTTCAATAGTTGTGTTGTTAATATGAGAACTGCTTTAAGGAAGTGAAGAGAGTCTTTTGGTCCTGTTCACATTCACTGAGGATTTGACTTGAGTCTCACTGCAGACTTCATTTGCTGTTACAACTAATGACAGTGAAGAAGTAATACATTACATTTGTGACCAGTCCTAATGTATTTCCCAGCTGCCCTAACTTCCGGTTCCCACCTACCTCCACAGACCTCCTAACAATCCCGAACATCAGGATGTGTTTATATTGAGTCACATTCAAGACCTGGGCTGGCCCCAGGCGATTTTATACAGTGTGAGAAGTGCTGGATCAAATGTCTGTCCCAGATGAGTCTTACTTGGGATTTCTGGGTGATTTTAAAAACTAATGTGTTTTTAAAAGCTATAATGGCCTTTGACTTTGTAAAAATCTGTATGTCTATATGAATTTTATTACCAAATACCTGAGTTCTACAAAAAGTGGAAGACCTTGAGTATTATTTTCAGTTCTCCAAACTTCCTTCTTGATTTAAGGCATGCGCTCTGCTTTGAAAGGAAAAAAAGAGAAGCAACCAAGAGCCTCTTGCCGGAACGGTGTCTGATGCTTACGAACAACATTCCCTCCTTCTCCCTCAGTGGGCCGAAAAAGATTGGTGACTTAAATTTTAGTGATTTCATTTGTTCTGTCTTTAGAGGTCCATAATTAGCTCTGCTAATACAGTTGAAGGCCTCCCTGGTTTAGATTATACCTATAGGTATGACCACCATGTGGTAGGTGAAAAGTGATCGTAAATAATACTTGAAAGTCTAGAGAAAGAAGGAACATTCCAGGCTCTATCCCAAAAAGTAAAAGAAAGTGGCAGACAGCTAGTCGGGGCTCTCAAGAGACTCCGCCCCTTAGATGCGTCATCTGTTCTGATTTTCGTTTCTGCATGGCAGATCTGCTTCTGCAGGTGAGACCCATCACCACTATGGAATGCCATTTCTAAATGCTGTGCCTTTTAATATCCAAGCCATTCAAGACCGATTCCACACCCTCCGTTGCTGTTGTTACATGCAAAGCAAAGATGTATTTCATTTGAAATTGGGTTCACAGTGGACGTCTTTTCTAAGCGCCAGGGATCCAGCGTCTGTGCATCTGGACGTCTGCGCCTGGATGTTTCTCAGGACAGGTCCGTCCTGTTGCAGTCAGAGTTTCCTGGAGTCCGGGGCATGGCTTCTGCATTGTGGCTTCATCGTGGATAGGATCAGCAGAAGTGTCCCTCAGGCCAGTGCCAAGAAGGATGAGTCAGGGCCTTTCAGCAGCTTAAAGCCAGGATGCTGGGTACAGTGTGCCCACAAACTGTTTCTTCTCTGGGTCCCGGGAAAGGCGAGTTGAAAGACTTAGGACAAAATCAGTAGTAACCTCTAGCTAGTCTTAGAGAGGGGGAGAATCCGCTTATGTAGTGTATGTATGTAAATTTGCTTAGCCATCCCATGTACTTCATTATTGCTTTTATGTTCTCTTAGGCATTGCCATTTATGTTTAGGACGTACTTTGGGCCGCTTCTGTAATTTAAGAGTTGGTCCCTTTTCGGGGGGTACATATTGGTGCCCACTGTGCGTGACTTGCTGACCGACCTTCTCGGCTGTGCTTTTAGTGATAACTAATCCACATTGCGGTGCTGTCGTCCGTGTAAGTCAAGTGCTGCTCCTGAGATGGCGAGTCAGCTTTGACGCTGAAATTGGGCCTGTGTACAAGACGTGCATTTTTGCTAAATGAAGGGTTTTTGTTGTTGTTGTTGTTGTTGTTTTAAAAAAAAATAGTTATTTGATTTCTTGTAAATGCTGTGAATCTCTATTTGTCATTTTGTATCTGTATATTAAAATAATTTGCCAAACCTGGTTCTAGTGATGCATCTCCACAGTAAAGTAAGGTAGACACATTATACAAAAAGAGGCAGGGCTGGGGCGTGCACAGAGCCCTGCGTTTGGTTCTCAGCACTGTGTAAAACAGGGTGTGAAAGCACACAGCTGTGATCCCAGCACTTGGAAGGTGGAGGCAGGAGGCTTTCCCTGGCTACAATGAGGAGTTCAAGGTCAACCTAAGCACTATAAGACCGGCTCAAGAAAAATTCTTCAAAGGCAGCAGATGCTGGAGCTTACAGATCCTTTATAGCTCTGTCTTTGGTGCTTCTTCTAAAGACTCCTTCCTGATGGCTGGGAGGCTCACGGAGCAGGTATTAGAGAAAAGCTCTGAGGGGAGTAGAGGGAGGGGCCCCTGGACTTCCAAAGCCCTTAGAGTGATATAGGAGCCAGAGAGGGCAAGTGACAGTTCCTTTTTGTGGGTTTGGAGATCTGACTGGGAATTGCTCCACTCCCTACCTCAAAGTAAAGCAGGCACTCTGCCACTGAGTGACAGCCCAGCCCTGGAAGGCCAAATCTGTTGCAACCATTTTCCATGAATGGTGGAATGTGGGTGACCAAGTCTCTACGCCTCTGGGTGGCCAGAGCTGCTGGCAAGACCCTTCACTGGGAGGTGAGCCTGTAGCCTTGGCCTCCCTCACCCAGGGTGTGGGGTGAATAAGAATTTCCTCCTCTCATTAGCAAACTCAGAAAATCCCAGTAAACAGCCCATTGTTTGCTGTGACTAATCAGAAAAGGGTTCCTCTGGGTTGCCAAGGCTGCCTCCTGCTTTCTGTTGTTTACTCCCAGCTCATGGGTCCTGTCCCTTCCTCGTACCCTTGCTCACCTCTCCACGGGCTCCACTGGGTGAAAGGGTGACAGTGCCAACCGGGGGTGACCAAGGATGGTACCATACATAGAAGGGAGCGTAAGTGGGAGGCAGCGGTACTTTATTCTAGAAGAGTTGGTGTGGGGGTGGGGAAGCAAGCATGTATTAGCTGTCTGCTGTATCCACAGGAGGCCATGTCCCTACAGAGGGATGTGTGGCCGGAGAGCCATATAGAAATACGACGACGACGACGACGTTCACTTGGCATCAGTAGCAGCAGAGATGTGAGGTAGGTGCATGACAGCCCCTAGAATGGCGTCCTGGCCCTGGCAAACATCCAGGCCGGGACTGGACTCCTAAGGACTTTGCAGAGGCCCAAGGCCCCTGTAGGATTCTGTGGATAAACACAGTGCCTCTGCTGGGTTAGACTGGGACCATGAGGTCTCTGTGGAGCTGGATGTTAACAGATGACCCAGAGCCTGTGTGGCACTGGTGGCATGTGGCATTCCCTAATGTGGCCAAACAACTCAAGGCCAGCTGTAGCCCGCATTGCCTGCACAGGTTGCAGTGAGAAGAGAAATCTTAAAATCAGAAGCAGAGGAATGCCCAGGGAGACAGCCTAGCAAGCTTCACAGGGATCCCAGCAGGTCGTGGGGGAGGGGAGGGACACTGGTGACCAAGTCCTCTCCTCATGCAAAGGATGAGTAGGAGTACCACCAACAGGCAGAGGAGAGAGTAGTGTAAACAGTGGGCCAGGCACCCTGTCAAACCCGATTCCCACTAGGGCTAGGAATACCATTGGAGAGGATTCTTATTGGTCAGGGGAGCAGAGGGGCCTGTGGCAGCCTGAAGCTGAGTGGCCACAGGGATACCTCTATCAACCAATTGCACTACCCGCACATGAAGGGACTTGGGGTCCTGGCTGTAGCAGTCAGGCCTAAAGAAACCAGACCTAGCTCAGTGGATGCTACCCAGCTTAATGGATGCTGCCGAATCCAATTCCTCCTCCTCCTGGGTACACTGCTGGGGCTGCCTGCTGTGCTGATGAAGGCATGTGGGCCGTGGTTAGCTCTGCTAGGATGAGGCTTCCCAGTATCTGCATACCCCTTCCCCAGCTGGCCACTAAGGCTCCTGCCCATCTCAGAACAGAATACAGTCCTTTTATGCTCTGGAAACGTGTGCTTTTTGCATGAATGTTTTGACATTTCTCAGGAGAAGCTGAAGGGAAATGATTGCAAGACGCACCCCACGGCAGAGCTGCAGCATGCTCCTCGGTGGGCTGAAGGTGGGGGAAGGGATGGACACAGTCCTCTATCTGCTCTGTGCATGGTCGAAGCTAACTACAAAGATGTTGGAAGGATCTGGTTGGGCTATGGTACCTTGCAACATCGGTGCACCAAAAGCTGAAACTTGCATTTCCTAAAAGAGGAGAGCAATTGTCAGGTCCAAAGGGAACCCCCAGTTCCCCCCGAAGCAGTGTTTGCTCAGCTCAGGCTGGGCGCTGGGCTATAACGGGAGCAGTATCCCTCAGGAACTCATGAAAGGGGTTGCTGCTTGCCAAAAAGGGCCACTTCCCTTGGCATATGCCTGTGGTTATATATCAAAACCCATGCTAGCCTCTAGACTCCTTCAGTCTCTATCCACATGGAACTTCCTCTGTAGACCAGGCTGGCCTCAAACTCAACAGAGATCTGCCTGCCTCTGCCTCCTGAGTGCTGGGTTAAAGGTGTGCATTCCTACTGCCAGCTTTTTTTTTGAACTGAGGACTGAACCCAGGGCCTTGTGTTTGCTAGGCAAGTGGTCTACTGCGTGCTAAATACCCAACCGGAAGAAAATAACTTTATTTTACAGTTTGGTATATTTAAAGGACTGAGCAGAGTCACTGGGAGCGTCTGGCCTTATCTAGAGCCTTAGAAGTCATGAGGGCTCAGAGCTACCTCCTGAACATAGTAACCCCAAAAGCGCAACTGTAGGCCTTTTCCTTCTGGCTGTCAAAGTGCCCTGCAGAGATGTGAATGCCAGTGGGAGGGTTAACTGAATGGTAGGTTGCCCTTGAATTTGGTTTTGCCCTTGATGAAAGTCACAGGCAACAGTAACTAATCATTTGAAAGCTCCAAGTAAACAAGAGTAATCCTAATGGTCTGTGATGCAGAGGCCACCCAGTTACTGCCGCAGTCATCTTGGTTATTTTGCACCTGTTACCCCAAGATATGATGGACTCAAGGCCAGTGAGAAAGCTGTTCACATTAAGGAAAGAAGTCTGCAGTGAGGGTCCCTTCTCTCACATTCCACCTGCTGGAACTTCTGGAGTGCCCTCCTTTTATTTCAGAGGACAGAAGAAAGGGACAAGTTTTCCACACACCCAGGGTGCTCCAAAGAGATGCTACCCAACCCCAGTGCTGCTGTGGCTTTTGAAGCTCGTCCAAGACGTCTTGTGCCTCCCTCCGTCCCCTCCCCTTCCTGATGTTTTGCAGTTATGTGCACTGGGGAGTTCTATGGCAGGAAGGCAGGATTTTATTTACAGTGTGTGGGGTCCCTATTCGCACCGTGTCCCTGTCCAGCCTGCAACTCCAGGGTTCAGGTAAGAGCGCTGCAAAGGATTTTTTTTTTCATCTTCAGCTGAAGGCACCTGGGTTCTGAGGTAGCCAGGTATCTTATAAAGCTCTGGGTAAGAACAGAGGTAATCTGCTTCTAAAACTTTTTTCTAAAGGACAGACAGGTGTGGTGGCTCATAGTTGTAATGTCACACTGGAGAGGCTGACATAGAAGGCTGCGGAGTGAGTTCCAGGCCAGCCTGGGCTACAGTCTTTCTCTCTCTCTCTCTCTCTCTCTCTCTCTCTCACACACACACACACACACACACAGAGGGAGGGGGCTCTAAACAAGAGAGGAAAGCAGAGAATCTCATTTGCCAGAATTCAGCAATACTGGACTGGGAGAAGACAAAAAACCAGGATAAATCACAAGAATAACGGACCTTTCTAGAAATGCAGTCAGATTATCAGATACATGTTTTAATGAGCCTGTTTTTAATAGTTATGTCTATACTAATTTATATGGTCTATAAAAAAAACCCTCAATATGTGTTGAGGAAAAGACACATACTCTGGCATTGCATTGAATATATGGGAGAAATAAATAAAGCCAGCTTGGTGTGGAGGGACATCATGATGTCATCCCCCATGTGTTATGCGCAAGCAAGCTGGGCCTCAGCAAAGACTGCTCACAAGCACACCTGCCATCCCAGCACTTGGGATGCTGAGGTAGAAGGATCATGAATTCTAAGCTGGCCTGATCGGCATAGAAATATCCTGTCTGGAAAAAATAAGGTTGTTCTCCTAATTTCTGTTAAATGTTAGTGTTTGGGGCTTTGTAAGGACTTTGAAGTGTTTGAGGGGACATAACGCATCTGAAATGTTTGGGAATCCGCTTACTCTTGACTATGAATTAGAGAAAATTATTCAGAAGAGGCACCAAAAGTGACTTTTTTAAAAAATGTGTGTGTGGGTGTTATGCCAGCACTGTCTCTCTGTACCCCCTTGGAAGCCAGGAGAGGGCATCACATCATCTGGAACCCGAGTTTAGATGGTTGTGAGCAGTCATGTAGGTGCTGGGGATTTAACCCAGGTTCTCTGCAAGACCAAGCTCTTAATCACTGAGCCATCTCTCCACCCTGCCAGATGGCTTTTTTTTTGGTTTTTCAAGACAAGGTTTCTCTGTGTAGTTTTGGTGCCTGTCCTGGAACTCACTCTGTAGACCAGGCTGGCCTTGAACTCACAGAGATCCACCTGACTCTCCTCCCGAGTGCTGGGATTAAAGGTGTGTGCCACCACGACACCAGGTGGCTTTTTACAGAGGTTGGGAAGTGAGGGGGAACGCTGGTAAAACACAGAGGAGTCGACCTAGACTCTCCCAGTCACTTGTAAGTTCAGCAGCCGAAGCCGCTACAGAAAACTCATGGATTTGGCTCCAAGGAAACTCAGCTTCCTGAAGTGGAGTGAGTTTGTGACTGAGAGGGAAACACTGGGTTTCCTCTTCCAGAACCACGTTCTGTATCCTGCAATGCTCAGCAGCTTCCACTAGAGAACGACACAGTTTTTGGTTGTCAGGGTCTAGATACAAAGGGGCTGGGAAGATGGGTCAGAGGTCAAGAGCACTGCCAATAGTTCTCAGCATCTACATCTGGTGGCCTGTAATGCCAGCTCCTTGAGTATCTGATGCTCTGACCTCCAAGGGTCTTTACATTCATGTGTGTGCACTCATGTACCTGTGCGTGCACACACACAATTAAAAATAATGAATAAAATAGCTACAAATGTGTAACTAGCACTACAAGGATGTTTTCCATGGGAAAGCCTCTTACCACATCAGTCTAAACATTAACATGTTTGGTTATTTGCATATATTTACTTCTAGTATTTGATAATATATATACATCAATATCTCCATAATGTGCCTGATATTTTAGTCTTTCTAAAAATCACTTTAAAAAATTTTAAGAGAACTTAACTGCTGAGATCTCTCTCCATCCCCATTTTAGTCCTTTATGTTTGGGTGGGTCTTTTGAGACAGAATCTCATCCATATGCCAGCTGATCGTGAACTTGTCACCCTTCGGCCTCCAGGCATGTTTACCTAGGTCACCAACTATTATAACTCTAACAGTGTTTTGTCCCACCCCCTACGTCTATTGTTAGGCATTATGTAATGTGCCCTCTCCCACCTTAACAGATAATGCTGCAGTTACCTTTGGCACACAGATCTTGCTTTATTATGAATAATTTTAGAAATAGCACTCCTGGATCAAAGGGATAGACAGCCTGGTTTTTTCCTTTACAAAGGTTTATGAACATCTACGTTGCTGAGGATGGTACATAAGGATCTGGGGTCTGATGGGTTGCATTAACCTATGTGTTCTTTTTTGTTATTTTGTTTTGTGCCTTCAGTCTTAAAAGAGCTGCCATCACACAGCCCTTGCCTTCAACCATTACTGCTCAATCTGCTCCTCTATACTCTATATATGGGGACTGGAGATAAAATGCTGAAAATACAGTCAGATGAGCCTTTGAGTTCCGTGACCAGAACCCCCGCCAGGCAGGTCCTGGGGGAGAGGTGGTGTGACACTTTGCACACTCCCAGGGTTCCTCACCTTGCTGGAATCCCACTCATCTATATCTCAAGAATTCAAACCCCTATGGGAGCTTGCATGCTGATCCTGTCGTGGGGAACAACCTGCCAACCCATCTTCCCCTCCTACCCAGATCTCAGCCCCAACCTGAGGCTGATGGCAGATTACAAACAGAAACAAACACGAAGAACCCAAGGAAAGGCAAGAACCCAAGGAAAAGGGCTGTGTCCTCAGAGCAAAGGTTGAGTCACAGGCCTGTGCACACTCTGGTGGTGTGTGCACAGGCCTGTGACTCAACCTGCTGTGTGCTCAGGAATGCACTACCACAGTGGGCTCAAGTGTCTCGTTGTTGTCGAACTGGGAGTTAAAGCCAAGGACTTTAACTTGACACAAGTGTTCTAGCACTGAGCTGAAGCCACAGCCCAAACGTAGATGTTTGGTACATTGCTGTTAATGCCACATAATTTCTGTTGTATGTGCATGGTACTGGGATGGACTTCAGGGCCCCGTGTGTGCGAGGCAGCCTTTCTACAGCTGAGTCACATCCTCTGCTTTAATGTTTGCTTGTCTTTTATTGTGATAAAATACATACCTAAATTCAAACTTACCAGTTAAGCCATCTTAAGTGTATGACTGAGTAGCAATAAGTACATTCACATCATCCTGCAACCATCACCAACATATATCTGCAGAAGTTTCATCTTTCACTGAACAGTACCCATGCCCTTTCAGCTCCTGGCATGGGCTGTATTGCTTTCTCCATGGGTTGGACCACTTTGCATACTTTAAATAAGACTCACAGAGCTCGATCTTTCAGTCCCAAATTTTGTAACTGCCTAATGTCCTCGAGGTTCATCCATGATGTAGCATGAGTTCGGGATTTCCTGACTTTCTGAGGGCCAAATGGTATTCCACTGTATTTCTACACTACATATTCTATAACCACTCATCCACTAATGGCCACATGGGCTGCTCTCCCTTGTGGCCTCTGTGGACATTGCTGCCAGGAACAAAGCTGTAGGCGGGAGTTTCTGTCCTGCTGGCAGCTCCCAAATAAACACAGAGGCTTAATATTAATTATAAATGCTCAGCCAATAGCTCAGGCTTGTTACTGGTAACTCTTACACTTTAAATTAACCCATATTTCTTTATCTACCCTCTGCCACATGGCTTGGTACCTTTTCTCAGTATGGCATGTCATTCTTGCTTCTCTCTGTCTCTCTGCTGGTGACTCCTGACTCTGCCCTTCTCTTGCCCAGCAGTCTCAGTTTGGCTTTCCCTCCTAACCTTACTCTGTTCAGATACTGGCCAGTCAGCTTGTTTATTAAACCAATCACAGCGACAAATCTTCACAGTGTCCAAAGGGATTATTCCATAGCACAGGGCTTGTTCAAGTCTCTCTGTTTTTGTTGTTGTTTTGTTTTTGTTTGGCTCTATTCCCAGGAATAGAATTGCTGGCTCAGATGGTAATTCTATGTGGGTCTTATTATTTTTAGTGTGCCTTTCCATGTATATTATGGTCAAATTTGGTCTTTATATCTGCTCCATGAGATAAGAAAACATTTTGCTCTAGCTAAAAAAAAGTGGCTTGCTCAAATTGAAACAATAAATAAAAGAGTCTCCGGACCTCAAAACTTGGCTTCCACATTTATTGACCATTAAAAGTGGTCTTGAGTGTGTGTTACCACCTGAGGACAATGTGCCTCCCCTCCACCCCCCACTCCCCGCTCCCTCTCTCTCAACAATAGAGTCTCACTATATAGCTCAGGCTGACCTAGAACTTACGTTTTTTTTTTTTTTCTCAGTCTTCCTAGTGCTAGGATTACAGTCATGTGCCACTGTGCAGGCTTGGTGACAGTTTGGTCAACTGGCTGGTTTCTGTTTTCCCTGCTCTGAATATCGAATACATAAGATCATATTCAAGCCTTTGTCAGTGCAGAGAGAAAAGGCCAGGTCACTCCCCAGCAACTGTGTCCATGCCCAAAGACCAAGGCCTGTCCCACTGCAGAGATGAGAGGCTGTGTCCATGACCAGCAACTATACCTACACCCAGCGACCACACATCTTTCAGTTTCTGTTTCCCTCTTTCAGTCCAATCCCTGTCGTCTGACCATGAGGATTTGGTGGCTCCTGTTGGTTATGGGCACATGTGCAAGGAGTGTGTACTCCCAGGACACCTGCCGGCAGGGGCACTCTGGCATCCCTGGGAATCCAGGTCACAATGGCCTACCGGGAAGAGATGGACGAGATGGTTCCAAGGGTGACAAAGGAGACACAGGTACTTGACATTTGTGGCTTCTTACTGCCTCGTCCACTCACTGGCCACTGGTGTCCTGTTCCACTTGCCCACTGAGCCCTCACCCACCAATGTGCCCTGCAGGCACTTCTCAAAGACAGGCTCTGCCATGTCAATATTCTAGGTGCTGAATGGAGTGCGGGACAAGGCCAACAGCACCCTGTCCTCACAGGCTTCTCATCCACTGGAGATGACTGTTAGCAAGTGTTTCTGCAACCATAGGGCATTTGAGTGAGATACAATGGGTGTGATGGATCATTGGTATCATGAGGCCAATGGAGCGGTCTGATGGCTAAGTATAGTAGCAACACCCATCCACAGGGTGAAGGCCAGTGGTGGATGCCTAAGGCCATAGAAAACACATAATTCTGTTGTTGGTTGCTTTTGCTCTTTTGGGGGGCCTGCCACCCAGTTCCCATATAGATCACACACACAGGATTATTCTTAATTATAAACACTCAGCCTTAGCTTGGTTTTCTTCCCAGCTTTTCTTAACTTTAAATTATCCCATCTATCTTTTGCCTCTGGGCTTTTTCCTTTTCTTACTTCTGTATATCTTACTTTCACTAGCATCCTACTCTCCTTGTTCTCTTACTTTCTCCTCTCTCCTCCAGATTTCTCCTTCTATTTATTCTCTCTGCCTGCCAGCCCCAGCTATCCTTTCTCTTGCCTTGCTATTGGCTGTTCAGCTGTTCATTAGACCATCAGGTGTTTTAGACAGGCAAAATAACACAGCTTCACAGAGTTAAACAAATGCAACATAAAAGAATGCAACAATCTTTGCATCATTAAAATAAATATTCCGGACTGGAGAGATGGCTCAGAGGTTAAGAGTAACGACTGCTCTTCCAGAGGTCCTGAGTTCAATTCCCAGCAGCCACATGGTGGCTTGCAGCCATCTGTAATGAGATCTGGTGCCCCCTTCTGTATACATAATAATAAAGAAATCTGAAAAAAATAAATATTCCACAGTATAAACAAATGTAGCACATCTTAAAATAATATTCTACAACAGAATCCTGTCGATATCGTGTTCCCCCCAATACATACATGACCTATGATAAAGTTTAATGTCAAAACTAGGTACGGAATAAATAGTCATTAATAACAAAAATGGATTAAGTTTTACACTTTCCTGTAATAAAGTTACCAGCATCAGTGATCTTCCATTTAGGGAATTTTATGAAGTAAATTTAGAGTTTTGTAGCATAAGCATTTTGAGTCTGCGACAGCCGTTTCTGATAACTGAAATGGCCTCAGAGTGACTGATGAGCGTGTCACATGTAGCTTCCCCAGTTCTGTGACCGTAGGCATGCACCACCATGTCTGGATCTGTGTTTATTTTTGAATATATGAAGTTTTAATGTTTATTAGCGAATATTTTGTACACATGAAGAGGAGAGATGATTACTAGATAAATCAAGAGTAATACTCTCATACACGTAATGCCGAATTTGTTTACCTCTCCCTTTGCCAATCTTTCTCGGTGTGATCTTCCCCTTTAAAAAGGCTTTTTGTTTTTTAGACATTTAATTTTTTTATGTATATGGATGTTTTGTCTGCATTTGTGTCTAGGCACCATGTATATGTAGTGCCCACAGAGGCCAGGAGAGGACATTGAGTCATCTGGGACAGGGAATCAAACCTGGGTCTCCTGGACGCACAGCCAGTGCTCTAATCACTGAGCAACCTCTCCAGCCCAACTCTTCTTTTTTATTGGCAGTGTCTCATGTATTCCAGGTTGGCCTCAAAGTTGCTGTGTACTCAAGGATGAACTTGAACTCTTCATCCTCCTGCCTCTACCTCTTTTTTTTTGTTTGTTATTGTTGTTTTGTTTTGTTTCGAGACAGGGTTTCTCTGTGTATAGTTTTGGTGACTGTCCTGGATCTCGCTCTATAGGCCAGTCTGGCCTTGAACTCACAGAGATCTGCCTGGCTCTGCCTCCCGAGTGCTGAGATCAAAGGCATGCGCCACCACCACCTGGCTTCAGCCTTTACCTCTTGAGTGCTGGGATTATAGGCATGTACCACTGTGCCCAGCTCAAAACCAATCAATCAATCACTCAATCAGTCAATCAATCAATCAATCAATCTACCAATGTCTCTTTCTCCCTCTCTCTCTGTAGTGTGCGCGCATGCGTGTGTGTGTGTGTGTGTGTGTGTGTGTGTGTGTGTGTGTGTGTGTGTGTACACATCATTGTCAGCTATCTTCTATTCTGCTCAGCTTTACAGGGTCTTTTGCAAAACCTGAAGCTTGCCATGTTGCCATGTTGACCAGGCTGTCTGGCTAGCAGATCCTCAGGATCACCCTGTTGTGTCTCCTCCGCCCATGTCTCCAGTCCTCCTTCCAAGCTCAGACAGCCATACTTGGCTTTTTACATGGGTGCTAGGGATTTGAACTCAGGTCCTCATTCTTTCTCTTTGCCATTGAGCTTCCTCCCCAGCTCTGTCAAAACAGATTTCTTAAAAGCACATGTTTTCTGGGTCAGGTATGGTGGCGCATGCCTTTAATCCCAGCACTCAGGAGGCAGAAGCAGGTGGATCTGTGTGAGTTCAAGGCCAGCCTGGTCTATATATTGAGTTCCAGGACAGGCAGAGCTAAATAATAGAGAGACTGTGTCTCCAAAAGAAACAAACAAACAACAACAAAACAAACAAAAGTATCTCTTTCTATTTTTCCATTCAATTAATCTCTCTCTCTCTCTCTCTCTCTCTCTCTCTCTCTCTCTCTCTCTCTCTCTCTCTCTCTCCTCAATGTGCTTTTTCTTAGGAGAATGACATTAACCTGTGCTGCTTGTCAGGAAAATCTGCTGCTTCTTTACTTGGTCCTCTGAAGATGTGCTGTGTGTTTTATGTAATCAACACACAGTTAGCACAATGTCCATGACATACATCCACAGTTGTTCTAGTAGATGTTCATGCTCTGACCTGTATGGTCATGAAAGCTTTGAGATAGTGCTGCAGAACACAAGACCTGGGAACTAAGCAGGGAGAAAGAAGTTTGGGTAGGAAGGCTCAGGCTTCCGGGGTGGTGCAGAGAAGGAGTGGGTGATAATGGAGAGGAGGCTAGTTTGGAGATACCTCCCTCTTGGTGGTTCAATGGGACCCTGGGATTTCTTGGGGAAACACCAGGCATTATGATGGATGCAAATCAGCCTGTGTCACTTTCCAGTCCTGAGAGCTGAAGGCTGTCCCAGCTGCTTGTCACCCTACAACCAGAATGGTAGGGTTGAAGTTTTGGAGTCTTGACTGACTTGAGTGAGACAGAACCTGGAGTAAACTGTGGCCTTGTGAGCTCTTCTGTCACCATAGTCTGGCCATTGCTTGGTGACCTGCTCCCAGGCTTAGGACTAGTGTATGACTAACAGAGCCCAGTGTCCCCTCACAGCTTGTTTGGTGGCATTTGCCTCTCGTCTACAATACCTTTCCTTCCCCAACAGTCATATCGCAGAGATCTCTGATGTTTCATGGAATCTGGTGAGACTTCCATTCCACTCTCTGAATGACTGGTGGAAAGGGATCAGAATGAGAGATATGCCTATCACCTCCCACATTCAGATCACTTCCAAGTCCTCATCTGGAGACAAACTTACAGCTTGGTACTCAGTGTTTTAGTTTGCCTTGCCTCACGCTCCTTGGGCACCCCACCGCTGGGTGCTCAGGAAGTCACCGATGCATTTCATAACCTGCTCATTCTACATGACTCAACCCCCTGGATACTCACTAATAGCTGCTACCCCACCTGCACTGGTGGGAAAAGAGGTGGGCTGGGGCACCCTAGGACTTCCCATATCAATAGAGACTCAGAGCTAGGAAACTGGACTTGGAATCTCAGCTCTTGTGTGCTTTCTTCCCTTCCGCCTAGGAGAACCAGGACATCCTGGTGGCCCAGGGAAGGATGGAATTCGTGGGGAGAAAGGAGAACCAGGTCAGTGCTGGCTTTGCATTTACCCATCCACCGTGCTCTAACACAATGCTATTTGACACTGCTGTGGACTGACCTGTCTGGGGCTCCCAGGATGAGCCACTGTATTAGTCAAGGTGCTCTACAGGAACAGAACTGGTAGAATGATTGGTTATAAATATAAACACACACATACACACATGGGGTGGGGGTTGGGGGGATTAGAAGCTGTGGTCTGGGTAGTCCAACAATGGCTGTCTCTCAATGGGAAGGCCAAGAATCTGTTAGTTGTTCATTTGAGAACCTGGATGTCTCAGTAGTCCCAATCTAGTTCTAGAGTCCTGGGGAATTCCTAAGGAGCTGCTGGTCTTCAGTCTATGTTGGAATCATGAAAAGGTAGATAGATTCTAACACCAGCGAAGGAATGGTTCAGCAACAGGATATCTAGATTTGCCAGTTAGGACAAGGATAAGCAGGCAAAAAGCAAAAGTTTCCATCTGCCACGTCCTTTCATGGGCTTCAAGACAGAAGGCGTGGCCCAAATTTAGGGCAGGTCTTCCCACCTCAAATGATCCAATTAAGGAAATCCTTCACTGGGTATGGTGGTGAACACCTTTGATCCCAGCACCCAGGAGGCAGAGGCAGGCATTTCTCTGTGAGTCTGAGGCCAGCCTGGTCTACAGAGTGAGTTCCAGGCTACACAGCCAAGGCCACACAGAGAAACCCTGTCTCAAAAAACAAACAAGAAAGGAAGGAAGGAAGGAAGGAAGGAAGGAAGGAAGGAAGGAAGGGGAAAGAGGAAAGAGGAAAGAAAGAAAGAAAAGAAAAAACAAAGAAAGAAAAGGAAGGGAGGAAGAGAAAGAAAATTAGTCACAGGTGTGCCCGCATGTTTGGGTTTTAGTTGATTCTAGATGTAGTCAAATTGATAATCAAGATTAGTCACCCACCAACATTCTCTCTCTTCAAGAGATATAGGTGCATGCATAGATAAGCAAACTCTTCCTGGAAGGTCCAAATGGAAATTTGTTTCAGCTTTGTGGGCCGTGGGCTCTGCCCATGCACCAAAAGGCAGCCACAAACAAGTGCTGCTGTGTTCTGGGGGAGCTGTGGCTGAAAGACCAATATTTCTGTTTTATATACTTTTTGTGTAGTATAGAGTCTTACTTTCCCCCCAACCCCAGTACTTGGGATTAAACCTTGAAATTCATGCATACTAAGCAAATACTGTGCCACAGCCTTCTTTTTTAAAACATGTATTGACATATGTTAATTATAGATAATGGAGTCTACTGTGACAATTTCATACTTGTGCATAATCACATTCATCCTGTTACCCTTTCTTGGCCAGTCCCATTCTTCTGCTGATGTTTCTCTTCTCCTCTCTTTCCTCTTTTCTTGTATGTGTGACCGAGTGAGTTTCATTAGAGTATTTATAGGCACATGGGTGAGAGTATGCTTGTAGGAGAAGGTGACCCTTACTAACAGCTAACTACTGAAGAAAATGTATCTCCCTCCACATCACACATTGACTCCATGTAAATCCTCGGGGAAGTGTGGAGTCGCAGGAGCTCCTTTCTCTTCCACGGCAGAGTGCTGAGGGACCTCACCTTGTGCAGGTAACCACAACTGTCATGAGTTCAAGAGTACAGCAACCATATCATGCCTGAAATTCAGTGTTCTACAATATTCCTCACTCCTTCTTCTGGCTCTTACATTCTTTCCACGCCCTTGTTCACGATGTTCTCTGAGTCGTGAAGGAGATGACAGAGATGTCCCATTTTGGGCTAAGCATTCAATAGTTATTTATTCTCAACACCTCTCTATTGTAACTTTTGAGTTTGAGATAGAGTATCATGGAGTTGCTGAGGCTGGCCTGGGCCTCCCTCTACAGATCAGGAAAGCTATGAACTGGCTATCCTTCTTGTCAGGCCCTTGAGTAGCTGATCTGGAGGGCTTGTGGCCACCACATCATGATGGGATGTTAGTTGTGCTCATTTTAACACATAAACTAGTTTTAGCTTATGGGCTATGCAAAATCAGGTCAGAGGACAGATTTAGGCAGCAGGCCACAGTGTGTTGACCCCTGACTTAGTGGATGAGTGCCAAGGAGGAAGCTTCTACTTCACTCAGTGCATGTCGCCTTACTTGAGGGAGAAAGTGGCACTTGAGTAGGGCCCTGGGCTGGAGGGATATCTCAGTGGCTGGTACTTTCCCAGAATGAATTGCAACCTGAAGGGTAGGGAGTAACTGATGGGGAGAGAGATGACCGTAATGTCAAATACGTGAACTCATTCTGGGCATTAATCTAAGGCTTTTTATGAAAATTTATAGAAGGGTTCTATAAGTTAGGTAGCATTACTGTTCCAGCTCTATAGATGAGGGAAAAAAATGTGATGGGGCTCACTATCTGCGTGTGCCGGGGTTGGAGAAGGGCTAGGTAATATTCTGAGGGAAGCTCAGGCTCCCTGCTCATAAGCACCATTGCCTCCCAATCCAGGTGGAAGAAGTGAAGAGTGTGGAGTGTTCATGTAGACTGAGGAAAACTGGGGTGGAAAGGACTGGACAGTTGGCAGGCATGTGGGCCACAGTGAACATCTGTTTCAGGTCCACTCCTTGAGGGGCTGTCACTTGCCTAGGACTGAGGCCCTGTTACTCAGCATCCTGGGTTGATCTGCTCCTTGTCATATTTTCCTTCAATGTGTGCTTCTCCCAAGGGTGGCCTTGTTTCTGGGTCATCATGGGATACTTTGGTGGTACAGTTGTCTTTACTCATACGAGCCCTGGTACTGACTAAAAGAATACTTTTGGAGGATGGAGATGTGGCTCAGTTGGTAGAGTGCTTGCTTAGCCTGCACGGAGCCCCAGGTTCTTTTCCTGGCACTGCATAACCTGGGAGGGATCAAATACAGCCTTAGTCCCAGAACTCGGGAAGTATAGGCAAGAGGCTTAGAAGTTTAAGATCATCCCACCATCCTTGGCTATAGTGAATCTGAAGCCATCCTGGGCTGCATGAGACCCTTTAAAAAAAGAGGGTTTGTGTGTGTGTGCTTACATGTACATTTCCCTGCATGCAATTTGGGAATTCGCGAATTTTCAGACTCTGAGCAGATTGCGAACCTACACCCCACTTTGTCTCAGTTAAATGCTCAGTGATAGAAACTTCAACATTGTGCACGAGGGATTCCTAAGCCCTGTCTTCGTTATCTTCCTCTATCCAGGAGCGGATGGAAGAGTTGAAGCAAAAGGCATCAAAGGTGATCCAGGCTCCAGAGGATCCCCAGGGAAGCATGGCCCAAAGGGCTCCATTGGTCCTACAGGAGAGCAAGGGCTGCCAGGAGAGACTGGCCCTCAGGGGCAGAAGGGAGAGAAAGGCGATGTGGGCCCCACTGGTCCAGAAGGACTAATGGGCAGTACTGGTCCTTTGGGCCCCAAGGGCTTACCTGGCCCAATGGGCCCCATTGGCAAACCAGGTCCTAGGGGAGAAGCCGGACCCATGGGCCCCCAAGGGGAGCCAGGAGTCAGAGGAATAAGAGGCTGGAAAGGCGATCGAGGAGAGAAAGGGAAGGTCGGTGAGGCTCCCATCTTGCCCAAGAGTGCTTTCACTGTGGGGCTCACGGTGATCAGCAAGTTCCCGCCTCCTGATGCACCCATCAAATTCGACAAGATCCTGTACAATGAACTGAACCATTACAATGTAGCGACAGGGAAATTCACCTGCCACGTGGCTGGTGTCTATTACTTCACCTACCACATCACTGTTTTTTCCAGGAATGTGCAAGTCTCTTTGGTCAAAAATGGGGTAAAAGTCCTGCACACCAAGGATGGTTATATGAGCTCTGAGGACCAGGCCTCTGGTGGCATTGTGCTGGAGCTGAAGCTCGGGGACGAGGTGTGGATGCAGGTGATGGGAGGTGAGAGGTTCAATGGCTTGTTTGCAGATGAGGATGACGATACCACATTCACCGGCTTCCTTCTGTTCAGCAGCTCTTGACACAAAGGACTCTGCACATGGGCCTCATGGAAGGCTCTCCTGGTGGACATGGTGCCCACAGACCTAGCTCAGTGAAGGTGGGATGCGATTGTGTCCATTCCTCCAATATTGTATCAATTCTAAACTGTAGAGGTGGGAAGCTACTCCTACAAATCCAGCCATTTGAACACATTAATAATAAACTCAGAGACACCAACAATGCATCAGTGTCTCATTAAGGTGAAAAATCAAAGCACTTCCCCTTGGTGTCATTTAACCAAGAGTGAGTGCAGATTTGAATTCTCTACTTCATGTTTTATGGGTCTTCCTGTCTGTCTGTTGTATAAATCTGAATCTGTGTCTGCCTGAAGGCTGTCTTGTGAATCTGTCCCTGTACCTGTCCCTGTCCCCAGCAGAGGGCTTTGCTCTTTGTCTTATTAAATATAAAAAAAAAAGCATCACATGGAGAAAGGAATGAAGAATCTTTTATAGAAACCTTTAATAGAATTTTACAATTAAGTCATTGATTCCAATCGCTCCCAACTGACCCAGATAATAAATAAACACTATTAAGCAGACAGAGAGAAAGAGAGGGGAGAGGGAGAGAAAGAGAGACTGACTGGACCTGGAATGGGTTTTTGAAATCTCAAAGCCCACTCCCAGTAACATGCTCCCTCCAACAAGGCCACATCTCTTAGTCCTTCCCAAACAGTTCCACCAACTGGGGACTAGGCATTCAAACATATGAGCCTAAGGAGGCCATTCTCCTTCAAACCACCACAACAATGTAAGGGATATTTTTATCATAATGCATTGGTACAGTTGTATGTAACTTAGGATCTCACTCTCTCTCTCTGGTTTTTTTCAAGACAGGGTCTCTCTATGTAGGCCCAGATGTCCTGGAACTTGCTCTGTAGACCAGGCTGGCCTTGAACTCAGAGATCCGCCTGCCCCTGCCTCTGCCTCATGAGTGCTGGAATTAAAGATGTGCACCACCATACCCGGCTTAGAATCTCTTAAAGAGTAGAAGAATAAACAGTGGCCCTGTGTGCTGTAATTCTCCATGCTGGAGAAGGAACCCAGGGTTTGTGCATGCTAGACAAGTGCCCTGCCACAGAGCCCTGTCCTCAGCCTGCTTATAACAATGTCTTTAACACATCACCATTCCCTCACCCAAGGCATCCTCTGCCTGTGTGTTTGTGGTGGGAAGAGTTCTAGAGGAGTTCTGGTGTCACTTTCCTGCTCTGAGGCCATATTATGATTTCTGATATTAGGAGAAAGTAAAGAAAAATGAGATGGGATTATGGCTGAGTGGGGATAACATTTGTATTAGTATGCATGGGTCCCATTTTCAACACTGCAAAAAACATACTTATTCCATGTCATGACTAGCTGCTTTAAGCTGGTGTCAGTGAGACACCCCAGGAGGCTACTCAATACAATTATGGACACTGTATTTTCTAACTTAGGTGTTTATGCCACACAACTCAAGGAACAGTTGGAATGAATCTATATTAGCTTCCTAGGACTTTCATGACCAAGGTGGGTGGCTTAAGACATCGGAATGTATCCTGTCACAGTTCTGGAAACAGAAGTTCAAGGTCCATGAGTCAGCAAGATTGAGACTAAGTCCCTGAAAGATGATCCTTTCCTGCCACTTCCAGCTTCTAGCAACCCCTGGTATCCCTTGGCTTGAAACAAGTCACTTCAGGGTCTCTGACTGTAGTTCCACATTGGTTTCCCTCCATAACTGCACATTTTCCTCTTCTAAAGAGGACATCAGTCATATTGGATTCAGGCCCATCCCAATCTGATTACGTCTGTAAAGATCCTACCCAAATAAGGTCAGATTTGCAGGCACCAAAGATTAGTACTTTAATATGTCTTATAAGGAGACACAGTTCTCCCCACAAAAGTCTGCCCTAAAGGGGCAGACTTGGACTTGCCTCCAAGTTGATGTCCTTTTTCTTTCCTATAGGTCAATAAGCCCTCCCCTAACATCCTCAATTTCATCATTATCATTTTTGCCCAAAATGTCATTGTTTAAGCCATTTAAATCAGCAACAGGAGAGACCTATTGTGTGATGATATATCCCGGGGCAAAATCTAGCCAGACGGAAGTCTTCAGTCAGACAAGTTATTTGCTTCCAAAGTACAGTGGTGGAATAGGCATAAGATGCCCATTAAAGGGAGAAAAGAAAAGGCAAAAAAGGCTCACAATTTGCAAGCGATTCCGAAACCCAGCAGGGAAAATAGTAGTGTTTGATATAATCCATCTTGGCACAACACTTCAGCTCTTTATGTGATCTTACTGTAGGGCTGTTTGGGTATGTTCCAGGTGGATTCTCTTCCTGCCCACCTGGGTACCTGGCAGTGATGGTGAATTGTACGCATGTATTCACGACTCATATGCTCATTGGAACACATGTGCTTCTCATGCTGGTCTCAAAACCCTGGCTGTGATGGTTAATCATCATTGTCAACCTGACTGAATTTAGAAGCTCCCAGGACACACACCTCTGGTCACAACTGTGAAGGCTTTTCCAGAAAGGTTTAACTGGAGAGAAATGACCTGCCCTGAAAGAGGGTGATGCCATTCCATAGGCTGGGGTCTCAGACTGAAGAAAAAGGAATAAAGGAAGTGGTAAACTGAGTACCAGCACTCATCTTTCTCTGCTTTCCGTCTTCCCCATTGTGGGGAAAATCATGCTGTCACCACTGTAAGCTACTCTTGCTTCCACTGTGTGTGTGTGTGTGTGTGTGTGTGTGTGTGTGTGTGTGTGTGTGTGTGTGTGAATTTTGAACTTCTGATCCTTCAAACTCTACCTCCCAAAGGCTGGGATATCCATAATCTCTTTTGTTCTTTTTTAACATGTTATTTATTTTTATTTTATATGTATTGGTGTTTTGCCTGCTTGTATGCCTGTGTGCGGGTGTCATATCTTGGAGTTACAGACAGTTGTGAACTGCCATGTGGGTGCTAGGAATCAAACCCAGGTCCTCTGAAAGAGCAGTCAGTACTCTCAACCTCCAAACCATCTCTCCAGGCCCACAACCCCTCTTCTAGCCACTGGCTCCCCAGCTCTACCCACAGCGATCTCTCAAGGAAAAAATCAAGTTCCTGATAACAAAATCCTTCCTTCTGGGCATCCCTGTCTGGAATCCTGGCACTCAGGATGCTGAGGCAGGTGGACTGCCAGTTTGAGGTCAGCCTGGGATGCATGGTGAGTTCCAGGCCAGTCTGGAATACAAAGTGAGAGCCTGTCTACAAACCAATCAAACACACACAGAACCTTCCACCTTTTCCTTTCTTTCCTGCCAAGCTCTAGAAAGCAGACATGACAGTCATCCGATAGTCATCTTGTGCAGGGAGATGACAGCACCTTAGGAAGAAAAGCTCTGGTCCTGGCAGAACCAGCACCCTGACCCACCGTGGTGTGGCTGTCTTTCTTGGAGAAGGCTAGGGCTGTCAAGAGACTTCCTCAAGCCTTCCCAAGTCTGTAGCATCATTCCTTCTTTCCCAGCCACGGCTCCCAATTATCTAATGCCATCCCCTCCCCACCCCCAGCCTCTGCCCTCTCATTTCTGCAGTCCAGTTGATATTTGAGGAGGTCCTGTCTGTACTAATTTAGGTTCTAGGTGATTATGGTGAAAGACCAGGAGTTAGACGCCGGTAGGCAGACAGACAGGGAGAGGGGCCATGCCTAGGCAATGGTGGCGGTGAATCTCCAAGACCGCCAGCTTCTTCCTCAACCTTCAGCTTTTATCTCCCACCAGCAGGCCCCCTGCTGATGGACAGGCTCAACAAGTCAAGACTGGGTCATGACATGTCACACCACAGTTCTGGGCCAACCAACCAACCACCCTAGCTTTCTCTAAACGGACCCACTTTAAATTAGGGAAGGGAGCCGGGCGGTGGTGGCGCACGCCTTTAATCCCAGCACTCGGGAGGCAGAGCCAGGCGGATCTCTGTGAGTTCGAGGCCAGCCTGGACTACCAAGTGAGTTCCAGGAAAGGCGCAAAGCTACACAGAGAAACCCTGTCTCGAAAAACAAAAAAACAAAAAAAACAAAAAAAACAAAAAAAAAAAATTAGGGAAGGGAAACCATTCAGAGGCTTTAAAAACCAGCCCTTGAGAAGAGACCCGATTTTCGCCTTTCAAGTCCCCCCTCTGCTTGGCAGAGGTTCTTTCTCTCTGTGTGCCTGATGCCTGTGTGTTTCCTCAACCCCAGTAAACACCTTTCATCAACTGCTATTCTGTATGCGATGCTTGAGATTTCTCCGAGGCTACGTGTTGCGCTTCATATTTTTCCTGTCTTTTAATTTTTTCCTGCCTTTTCGACTGGCAAGAGACAACGAACCCGATCAAGACCTTATAGACTGTATCATCTCAAGACCCCTAGACGGTATCAATAGTTTCAAAAGTCAAAATAAATGAAGATTCTCTATAGTTAATTCACGTGGTTACACACAACCATAGCTGACATGCATGCGCGCAAATGTAGGTGTGATTTCGATCTCTTTTGGAGCAGATAGGTTCCTTGGATTCCGACTGCACGTGGCTTCTCCTGGATCCTTCCACGCGCTGTCACTGGGTCTCCTCTGAGAAGGCATCAAGAACCCATCTGAGTTCTCACATTCATTCCTGGCACCTGTTAAGAATTCCAATTCCCAGCAAGACTTCCTGCGCCCCAGGAACACAGGGAGGGAAAAGGCAACCTCAGGACGTTTCTTCCTCCAGACACACGAGGGCGCTACGGAACTCCGGTCGCTCAGAAGGCGTCGAGGCGACGCTCTTGCTGGAGAGTCAACGGTGCTCAAGTCCGGGCCTGCGCCGGGCGCCCCACAGGGCAGCGCGAGCGTCACGTGCCGCGGCGTGGGCCGCTGCCTTGGAAACGCGGGGCGCGCGCTTCCTGAACTTGAAGGAGCCGGGGCCCGGGAGGATGCTGCTGGTGGACGGGCTGCGGTACGCCCGCAGGCTGTGTGGCCTGGGAGCCGGAGCGGCTCTGCGGGGACCCGCAGGCCGAAGCGGCCTGCGCAGCTGGGGTCGCGCCCGGGGAGTCAGCACCAGCTGGTCGCCGGTGGGCGCCGCCTTCAACGTCAAGCCCCAGGGCCGCCTGTGGGACCTGTTGGGAGAGCGCCGGGTGAGCGAGCGTGCCGTGGGTCTGGGCCGCGCGGCCGCTGCCTCTTGCTCAAAGGGGACTGTGCCAGGATAAGTGC